CTCTACTCCCACCACTACACATTTATTCACATTTATTCATTCCACCCTCTCTACATGTCCGAACCACCTCAACAACCCCTCCTCAGCCCTCTGGATAATACTTTTGATAATAACATCACTGTGTCCAGCCTTCACCTTGCAACATTTACCACCCATGCGTTTTCCTCTCATTAATCCCATGATTGACCTCATCTCTCATAGACACATCTGCTGACACGTCCACTCACAAATATCTGAGTATATTCACCTCCTCCATACTCTCTCCCTCCAATCTGATATCCAGTCTTTCGTTACCTAATCTTTTTTTGTTATCCTCACCATCTTACTCTTTCCTTTATTTACTTTTAATTTGCTTGTTTTACATACCCTACCAGTGTCATCAGCAAGGAGCAACTGTGACAACTCTAACTTTTTGTTAGATTCTTTATCTTTTAACCCCACACCTCTTGCCAACACCCGAGCATTCACTTCTCTTACAACCCCAGCTATAAATATACTGAACAACAATGGTGACATCACACATGCCTGTCTAAGGACTACTTTTATTGGGAAATGATCTCCCTCTCTCCTATATACTGTAACCTGAACCTCATTATCCTCGTATAAACTCGTCACTGCCTTCACTAATCTATATACTTTCCCCTATCCATCCTATCATATGCCTTTTCCAAATGCATAAATGACACAGAAACCTCTTTACCTTTATCTAAATACTGTTCATCTATATGTTTGACTATAAACACTTGGTCTACACACCCCCTACCCTTCCTAAAGCCGCCTTGTTCATCTGCTATTCTGCTCTCCATCTTAGTCTTAATTCTTTCAATAATAACTCTACAATACGCTTTACCAGGTATACTCAACAGACTTATTCGCCTAGAATTTTTACACTCTCTTTTGTCCCCTTTGCCTTCATGCAAAGGAACTATGCATGTTCTCTGCCAATCCCTAGGTACCTTACCCTCTTCCATTCATTTATTAAATTAAAGCATCCAAAACTATATCCCCACCTGTATCTAACATTTCTGTCTTTATCCCATCAATCCCAGTTGCCTTACCCTCTTTCATTCTACCCACTGCCTCACGCACTTTCCCCACACTCGCAACTGGCTCTTCCTCACTCCTACAAGATGTTATTCCTCCTTGTCGTATACACAAAATCAAAGCTTCCCTATCTTCATCAACTTTTAGCAATTCCTCAAAATATTCCCTCCATCTTCCCGATACCTCTAACTCTCCATTTAATAACCCTCCTCTCCTATTCTTAACTATCAAATCCAGTTCTTCCTTAGGCTTTCTCAACTTATTAATCTCACTCCAAAACTTTTCTTATTTTCAACAAAATTTGTTGACAATATCTTACCGACTCTCTCATTTGCTGTCTTTTTTACATTGCTTCACCACTTTCTTAACCTCTTTTTTTCTCTCCATATACTCCTCCCTCCTTGCATCACTTCTATTTTGTTAAAACCTCTCATGTGCTAGCTTTTTCTTTCTTACTATTCTCTTTACCAGTTACTTTTCTTCCTTCCTGCACCCACATTCCTCTAATCACAAACTTCTGCTGAACACTCTAACACTATTTTCTTATGCTTACCCAATACATCTTCAACCCCATTGTCTATACTCTCACTAGCCCATCTATCCTCCAACTGTTGTTTATATCTTACCCTAACTACTTCCTACTTCAGTTTATAAACTTTAACCTCTCTCTTATTTGCTGCTGCCATTTTCCTTGTATCTCATCTACCTCAATGTAGCTACAACTAAAATGTCATCTGATATGTCTTTGGCCCTTCTGTAAACATGGACATCCTGAAGTCTACCCAACCGTCTTTTATTTACCAATACGTACAGAGTCCAACAAACCACTGTCATTACGCCCTATACCATATCTTGCATACTTGTTCTTTTTTTTCTGAAAATATATGTTACCTATAACCAAACCCTTTTCTATACAAAGTTCAATCGAAGGCCCCCATTATCATTTACATCTGGCACCCCAAACTTACCTACTACACCCTCTCTAACCATTCCTTCTAGTTTAGCATTTAGGTTCCCTACCATAATTGCTAACAAGGTTTAGAAGTTCCTACATACTCGCTTAATGTCTACCAAAGTCTCTCTCTCTCCCCTACACTTCTCTCTTCGCCAGTTGTACACTTATTATTACCCAATTTTCGCATCCGGCCCTTATTTTAATCCTCATAATCTTTGAATTTATACATTTATATCTCCTCTTCTCCTTCCAAAACTGATCCTTCAACATTATTGCAATCCCTTCCTTAGCTCTGACTCTCTCAGATATATCTGAGTTATTCCTAATTATTTCCCCCCACTGAAACTCATACCCTCATCAGTTTTGTTTCGCTAAGAGCTAGAACATCCAACTTATTTTCACTCATAACATTGGCAGTTATCTTTCATCATTTGCTCTACATCCATGCACATTTAAACATCCCAGTTTAATAAAGTTTTTCTTCTCTTTTTTAGTAGTTTATACAGGAGAATGGATTACTAGCCCATTGTTCCCGGCATTTTAGTAGCCTCCTACGACATGCATGGCTTACGGAGGAAAGATTCTTTTCCACTTCTCTATGTAGAATAGAGGAAATAAAGAACGAGAATTATTAAGAAAAAAGAAGAAACACCGAGATGTGTGTGTATATATGTGCGTGCATGTCCGTGTAGTGTGACCATAGTGTAAGTATAAGTACCAAGATATACTTGTTATCCCGCGTGTTTATGTATCATTAACAAACTGCAGCCTGGCCGGGGATCGACCCCATGCTACTTTGGCCCTCTTCGTGGGAAGCTAGACAAAGCTCACGATGCTCTAACCACTAGACCAACAATCCTGAGGATTGTTGGACGACTGGTTAGATTGTTAACCACTGGTTAGAGTGTCAACCACTGGACCAACAATCCTGAGGATTATTGATCCAGTGTTTAAAGCGTTGTGAACTTTCTCTAGCTTCTCACGAGGCTGACCAAAGTAGAATAGGATCGATCCTGGCCATGCTGCAGTTTGTTAATGATTCAAGACTATTTGTTTCGTGGTTTCGTTAATATACATCTATATACATATCCTGGCTAGCCGCGCATCTGTTAATGATTTAAAATCATATATATATATATATTATATATATATATATATATATATATATATATATATATATATATATATATATATATATATATATATATATATATATATATATTATATACATATATATATATATATAATTATACATATATATTTATATATATATATATATATATATATATATATATATATATATATATATATATATATATATATATATACATATATAATATATATATATATATATATATAATATATATATATATATATATATATATATATATATATATATATATATATATATATGTCTGTGTGTGTGTGTGTGTGTGTGATTTTAATTCATTAACAGATGCGCGGCTAGTCAGGATATAGACTATTCGTGAAGGCTGGTACCCAAATAGGATGAGGTTGAAATCAGTCTCTGAGGCTCCACGACCACATATGTTCTTGAATCACGGAAAACACGCGTAGCATTTGAGAATTGTTGGTCCAGTGGATAGAGTGAAGCATACATTGTTCTGTTCTCACAGGGCTGGGCATGGCGACGCAGGATCAAATCCTGGCTAACCGCAGTTCTGTTAATGATTCAAAATCACCTGTTTTGTGATTTCATTATTATATAAACTGCTGTTTTGTTAGTTACTGATTGTGAAAGGCATTTGTCGATAGTGTGTTTGCGTGCGTGTGTGTGTAAATGAATCTTCCTATGAGTGTTTGAGGGTATTTGTGTGTGTATATATACACCCACAATATACACAATATGTATATGTACACAATATTCACAATATGTGTATATACTGAATATGCACACTACGTGTATATACTTAATATGCACAATATATGTATATGCACAATACACACAATATGTGTATATACACAATATACACAATATGTGTATATACACAATATATACAATATGTGTATATACACAATATACACAATATGTGTATATACACAATATACACAATATGTGTATATACACAATATACACAATATGTGTATATACACAATATACACAATATGTGTATATTGTGTGTGTGTATGTGAGTGGGAGCAACTCTCACAATCGTAAGGTAGAGTGTTAATATTGATATTATTAAGCTGTTTTCGGCTGTTTCTTAGCCAGTACCGTGAAAATAGCCGATAGTGATACTTAGGCACATTCCTATTATATACCTATTATTTTTTTGTTGATGATAGAGATATCCATCACCACAGAACCAAGTGGTGTAATAGTAACTCCAGCTCTTCAGCAAAACTTTGAAAGCTCCCTTAGCTGATGAACTTTCACTGAAGTACATGACAATATCTTCATTTCCCAACTAAGTTTGACAGATTTCAGCACTAAGTATTTATCCATCATCCTGTGTCATGGAATATGACAAGAAAACATAGTAGCTCTTGTTTTTTTCCCTTTGTGTAACTGTCATAACGAATAGGTTAGTAGCACATTGCTGATGTATCCAGTATTGCTAAACAGATTAATTAAAAAGTGTTTCATACTATTTTGATTAAGCTCCACGTTAGGGATAAAGCCCTAGTGAGGGGTGACAAAGCTTCACCCTAGTGAGGGTGATAAATCTCCACCCTAGTGAGGGTGATAAAGCTCCACCCTAGTGAGGGTGATAAATCTCCACCCTAGTGAGGATGATAAATCTCCACCCTAGTGAGGGTGATAAATCTCCACCCTAGTGAGGATGATAAATCTCCACCCTAGTGAGGCTGATAAATGTCCACCCTAGTGAAGATGATAAATCTCCACCCTAGTGAAGATGATAAATCTCCACCCTAGTGAGGGTGATAAATCTCCACTGTGGGTGAAAATATAAGTCTTCTCTTCCTAAAGTGCCTTGAATTAGCACTTGTTTACCAATAATTCTATTGTGGTCCTCAGAACTAGTGCCTAGCGGGGAGATGTCAATGGACGGGTATCGTTATGAGCACCAGGCACCTAACCAGAACCGCACAAAGCGCATGAGAACCTCCTTCAAGCACCATCAGCTCAGAACCATGAAGTCTTACTTTAATCTCAACCAGAACCCTGATGCCAAGGACCTCAAGCAGCTGGCTCAGAAGACGGGGCTGTCCAAGAGAGTTTTACAGGTGAGTGTATGAAGTAATTCTGAAATGTCTGCAGCTGTGTTACAGTGTGTGAGGTATTACAAGAGTGTGTGAGGTATTACAAGAGTGTGTGAGGTATTACATGAGTGTGTGAGGTATTACAAGAGTGTGTGAGGAAGCACTGAGGAACAGATTCAAAAGATTAGCTCTCGAAATATAAATTTCTCTTATTAGTCCCCTTCATTAGCGTAAACTAAATCAAATACAATGTGGCTATAATTTTCAAACTGATCAGTAGAGAGCGTTCCAGCACTAGCCTATTTTTCTCCTTTTAGGACATGACGTTGAGTATGACATGAGCTTCTGATACACACGTTGGGGGGGCCTTTTGGGGGTCCAATCCGCTTCAGCCAGGCTCGTGATCCACCATCACCCACCTTGCACGACCACCAACACCACCACCCCCACCACTACGCTTTCTCTCCACAGGTGTGGTTCCAGAACGCTCGGGCCAAGTGGCGGAGGAACATCCTGAAGCAAGAGCACGAGAGGCACGTCGGGGATAAGATGAAGGATCAGTCGGGGATGCTGGCGGACCTCCGACCTGTGGATTCCTCTGGGACCCGGACTCACAGACCTCTACGCTATGTCCTCCGGAGACGAGGGAAGTCAGTCGCTGCAGTTCACAGACATGTGTCAGTAAGAAGAAGCCAGCGGTAGTGAGAGCAAGAAGAGGGAAGTCCACAGGTATTCAAAACAGGGTCGTGGAGAATGTAAATATTAGAGTTAGCCAGAGTAGTGTTGAGCTTCGTCTTAGTCGTGGCTAACGCAAGGGAGGGGAATCATTCCTCAGCTTGCTGGCCAACATTTTACATGGAACAAATAATATTTCACTTTTTAATATTTGTAAGCACTTCTACCCTTCATTTTTTCCTCGTTGGTTAAGACTGCTCTGAAGACAGAGTTAACATATTTAATTACCAAACATTGACTCAATGTAGGCGACCACATGAGAAATGAGAAAATAATTTATACAGTTCAGACAACCAGATAGATACATAGATAGATAGATAAAGAGATAGATAGAGAGAGAGAGAGAGAGAGGGAGAGAGAGAGGGAGAGGTACCGTAAACATTATCAGGTGACACTTAATACTGGCCATCATCAGTAAGTGTTTATAAACGAGACATGGTTGTGACAATTAGTTTCAAGGTATCAAACCCAAGGTATAGTACAGAAGCCTCTGGTGTTGTGTTTGTTGCATTTCAGGGTTTGTGTTTCCCCACATGAATTTTTTCTTTTCTCTGACATGTGAAGATAAGTGCTACATGTAAAGAAAGTGTCTCCTGCTTGTGAAATGTTCTGGATTCATTTAGCTCACATAACTCAGCCTGCTGTAATACAAAAAAAAAAAACCCCTGACTATGGTCGCTGGCGTCTGCGGATCACTTCTCAAGTGAATATCCCAGTAAAACATTTACAAAATATAATGTAATGCAATTGTTTTAGTTATCGCAGTTAACGTTTCAAACAGAAAATTTCTAAGAAGGTATAAGTTAATGTGTATAGGATGTATATTATTTTCTAGTGAAATTACCTTGACATGAAGCACTCAACTTAGTGACTTTCTCAAAGTACTTTACCATTAGCATCACCACGAACAATCTTCAGCATCACCACCATCCCCCACCATCAGCATCACCATCAGTCCTCATCACCAACATCTGCAGCATTCCTGACTGCGACATAAACAAACATCAAACTTCTTCCCATAAAATATCCCAATTAAACTCACACGAATGACCATATCATCTCTGATTGTTTTTTATCATGAATGTTTTGTAATTCGTCATTTCCTCTATGTATTCCACAATACACATTTCTGACATAGTTTCGAGGCACGAGAAAGACCATTGCCAAGAGTGCATGAACTAGGAATGTTTTAATAGACCATCACTCGGTTGAATCCTGCTCAGGTTTAAATAGGTTTAGTTATGTGACAAACCACTGTTACTTCTCTAATCTGCTCGGTCGATTAAAGTACTATATCGTTTTCCTCCTCATCTTCTTCTTTATCATTATTATTATTATTATTATTATTATTATTATTATTATTATTATTACTTTTATTATTATATTATTTTTTTTATATATTAACTTATATACTATTTTAGTATAATTGCTAAATCAGTTTTTAAGTCTTAGAATAAAAAGCAAACAAAATAATGGGATTTCGGTTAAAAAATTAATCCGCAATATATGCTTAAATTCTAACATTTACTCCCCTATACACTAACTTCTCTTTTATTCCGGTCATCTTTGGATTCAACAGTATTATTTTTATATTGGAAAACTAGCACTGAACCAGCATGAGTCAAAGACATTCCACAAAACTTAATATATCCAGAGTGTTTTCTAACCCAGTTGTTCATAGTAGTTAAATTTTCGTAGTGTCAACACCCGCAGTGTAGTAACATCGTGTTCTGTATGGCAGTTACATGGTGACAAAACTGTTGTGTATTGTTACCGTGGTCTGCATAACAAACACCCTTTATTTCTCTATGACAGTAACATTGTGGAAACGCCCACAGTGTGCTGCTGCCTTGGTCCATGAGAGGGTTACACGGTGGGTTCACTCTGTGTCAGGCTGCCCTAATCTGTATGATAGTTAGGTTGTGTTAACGTGGACATCAACCAGTTATGTTTTCTTGTCAAACTCCTTTACACAGGATTGGCTAAATACAAGAAATCTGTCAGCCTGAGTGATGAGAATATTGCTATGCAGTGCACTGTAAGTTGAGTAACTGTGGCAGATTTAAAGATTTCATTTCGAATCAGCTGAAGTTATTATTTTGTAAGATATTACCGCCTTTTAAGATATATACATATGTCATGCCGAATAGGTAAAATTGGTCAATTAGCAAGAATTCATTTAAAATTAAGTCCTTTCTAAAATTTTCTCTTATATGTTTAAAGACATATATTTTTTTATCTATAATAATGTAAAAACTAATAATTTTGTACCAAAAGACCCTTACAAATCTTACCTAACCTTATTATAACAAGCGCAATTTAATTTAGCCTCATCCAACTAAATATATTTTAGATAAGTTTACAGTAATCTAATAATAAACAATCACAATGAAACGTTTTTTTTGTTATGGTCAGAATGATTTTTGCGAAATTATTGCATATACAAAATTTCGCTTGTTTTACTCGGCAAGAAGAGTGTTGCTATTTAAGCCCAAATCGCTATATATATATATATATATATATATATATATAATATTATTATATTATATATATATATATATATATATATATATATATATAATATATATATAATATATATATATATATATATATAAAAGCAGGGGGAATACAGTGTTAGAGTGGTTGGTATTTTTGTTTAATAAATGTATGAAAGAGGGGAAGGTACCTAGAGATTGACAGAGAGCATGTATAGTCCCTTTACATAAAGGGAAGGGGGACAAAAGAGATTGTAAAAATTACAGAGGAATAAGTTTACTGAGTATACCAGGAAAAGTGTACGGTAGGGCTATAATTGAAAGAATTAGAGGTAAGACAGAATGTAGGATTGCGGATGAGCAAGAAGGTTTCAGACTGGGTAGGGGATGTGTAGATCAAGTGTTTACATTGAAGCATATATGTGAACAGTATTTAGATAAAGGTAGGGTAGTTTTTATTGCATTTATGGATTTAGAAAAGGCATATGATAGAGTGGATAGGGGAGCAATGTGGCAGATGTTGCAAGTATATGGAATAGGTAGTAAGCTACTAAATGCTGTAAAGAGTTTTTATGAGGATAGTGAGGCTCAGGTTAGGGTGTGTAGAAGAGAGGGAGACTACTTCCCAGTAAAAGTAGGTCTTAGACAGGGATGTGTAATGTCACCATGGTTGTTTAATATATTTATAGATGGGGTTGTAAAAGAAGTAAATGCTAGGGTGTTCAGGAGAAGGGTGGGATTAAATTATGGGGAATCAAATACAAAATGGGAATTGACACAGTTGCTTTTTGCTGATGATACTGTGCTTATGGGAGATTCTAAAGAAAAATTGCAAAGGGTAGTGGATGAGTTTGGGAGTGTGTGTAAAGGTAGAAAGTTGAAAGTGAACATAGAAAAGAGTAAGGTGATGAGGGTATCAAATGATTTAGATAAAGAAAAATTGGATATCAAATTGGGGAGGAGGAGTATGGAAGAAGTGAATGTTTTCAGATATTTGGGAGTTGACGTGTCGGCGGATGGATTTATGAAGGATGAGGTTAATCATAGAATTGATGAGGGGAAAAAGGTGAGTGGTGCGTTGAGGTATATGTGGAGACAAAAAACGTTATCTATGGACGCAAAGAAGGGAATGTATGAAAGTATAATAGTACCAACACTCTTATATGAGTGTGAAGCTTGGGTTGTGAATGCAGCAGCGAGGAGGCGGTTGGAGGCAGTGGAGATGTCCTGTCTAAGGGCAATGTGTGGTGTAAATATTATGCAGAAAATTCGGAGTGTGGAAATTAGGAGAAGGTGTGGAGTTAATAAAAGTATTAGTCAGAGGGCTGAAGAGGGGCTGTTGAGGTGGTTTGGTCATTTAGAGAGAATGGAACAAAGTAGAATGACATGGAAAGCGTATAAATCTGTAGGGCAAGGAAGGCGGGGTAGAGGTCGTCCTCGAAAAGGTTGGAAAGAAGGGGTAAGGGAGGTTTTGTGGGCGAGGGGCTTGGACTTCCAGCAGGCGTGCATGAGCGTGTTCGTTAGGAGTGAATGGAGACGAATGGTATTTGGGACCTGACGATCTGTTGGAGTGTGACCAGGGTAA